GAAGACTGGGTTTGACAGCCAAGTTGGATACTTGACTTCTCTTATGAAGCCGGCCTTGAGCAACCGCCTCACTTATTCTTCTAATGCCATTTGTTTCTCGAGGGACGCGTTCCTCCTCCTCTGCTGAATGGGCTTCGATTTTCTTTTCACCGACAGGTGATGTTCGGCGAGCTCCCTTGAGACGCCCGACATATCTTCTGAGGTCCACGCGAATAGGTCTTTGTACTATTTGAGAAGTGCCACGAGCTCTCTCGCCTTTTCCTCTGTTAGGTGGGAAGAGATTCTTACCTTCTTCCCAAGCTCCTCGTCGTCAAGCACTACCTCCGTGTCCCCTTCGACCGCCTCTAGGCGGGGATGTCCTCCTCGGGTGTCTACCAGGTCAACCTCCAAGCTTTCTATCGTTGCCTGGTAACACTCCTTCGCTTGCTCAGTGTTTCCTCTAACCCGTCCCACTCTTCCTCCTACTAGGAATTTAAGCATCTGGTGGCAAGTGGACGGGACCCCGGAGAACAACGATAGAAAACCGTGTCCTAGGATCGCATTGTATGCCGATGGAAAGTCCGCCACGTGAAAGTCCATGGAACGGGTCTTCGTTACGTCTGCTTCTCTAATTGTCACTTGCAAGGTGATTAATCTCAGCACCCTGATCTTCGACCCCGAGAACCCTACTAGGCTTGTCGCTGAGGGCTTGAGGTCTTGCATGCTCATCTTCATACTTTTGAGGGTGGTGTAGAACAGTATGTCTGCCGAGCTTCCGTTATCGACTAATGCTCTAGTGATTTTGAATTTCCTTGTTCTTAAAGAGATGACCAACGAATCTTCTCCACTCTCGTCAGGGGCCAGTTCGGAGGGCGAAAAGCTGATGTCCACCTGCTCGCTCTTATGAACGTTCAATCATTGAACAAGGCGCTCTCCCTCACTTCTGGGCCTTTTGCGACCGCCCGTGATGGTTATGACCTCCACGTCGTCATCATTGACGCGAGGTTGCCGCTGAGGAGGTGAATTCCTGGGAGGCGGTGGTAAGCGGTCGCGTTTGGGGGAGCGATCTCTTCTTTGCGATGTTGATCTTCTGCGCTTAGGGGTACGCGATCTCCTTCTTGGGCTCGGCAACCGTTCTTTGTGGTGCCTCTGCTCCTAACGATGCGGTCACGTATCCAGGCGGCTCTTGAGGTCTCCAGGCGCCAAGTACTTTAAACTGGCTTTGAACTCCCGACACTCTGTGGTGTTATGGGTGGGCATCTGGTGCCAGTCACACCATTTTCGATCTTCCTCCCTCCTATGCGTATGGTGCGCATTGTTGTCATGTTCCCTGTCTCTGCCCTCTTCTTTGCTAGAGGTGAAAACCTCCCTCCGGGTGTCTTGGTGAGTGAACCGCGGCTTATAGTTGTGCCTTTCGGGGTAGCGTCCCCTTCTTTTAGGCGATCCTCCCTTCTTCTTGTCCGACCTTTCTCTTGGGTTGACGCGTTTGGCGGCGTCTTCAACGATCATGGCTTCCTCTAGTAGGATTGCTTTCCTTACTAAGCGGTCTAGGTCGGGCCACTCTTTTAGGGCGTGTTCTTTTTTGATGAGCGCCCTTCGAAGTTTGCAACTATGCGTCGACATGCGCAGGTTTCCTGCTGCCACGCTTGGCGAGATTCCTTGTACCTCGCAGGCTATAGTGTTCCACCTATCGTAGAAATCCGTCAGCGACTCTTCTCCTCCGTACTTGCAATTAATGAGCGCTGACAGGTCAGCTTCCTTCTTCGCTGGGACACGAACTTTGAGGAGAAGAGGGTGGCAAACTGCTCGAAGTTTTCAATTATCCCCTCGAGTAGGGAGGTGTACCAAGTTCGGCAATGACAGCTAAACGTGACCGGGAACGCCTTGCACAGATCGGCGTCTGTGGCATTGATGAGCTGCATAGTCAGCATAAAAGCGCTCAAATGGTCAGCGGGATCGGAACTTCCATTGTACGTCGGCAACCCGAGCGACGAGAAGTTTGGGGGAACCTGAGTTTTAAATAAGCTCTTAGCTAGCGGGTTCTGGAGGACGTTGTGACCCTTTACCCTTCCATATGAGGGCTTAAGATGTTCCTCCAAGAATCCTAAGCTGAGATCTTCTGTTCCTTCTTCTTTGTCAGACTCCCCGCCTTCTGTCTGAGCAGGGCTGTCAGGGTCTTCCTCTCTTCCTTTTCCTCTAGCCGCTCGCTTTTCTGAGCTCTCCGGCGCTTCGCTTCCCTTTTCTTTGAGCATGGCCAAGATTTGGCTCAAACTCTCTTGCATGCTTGATATGTGTTGTCCCTGACTTTTGACGCGGTCTTCCATCTCCATTTCTTCCTCCACTGTTGGCATTTCCATTCCACGGATGCCGCTCATCAGCGCTTCCTGGCTGCAGAGGTCGCTCCTTTCTACTATGCCTTTGACGGGGGTTTTGGAGCTCTCATCCATCCTTTCTTCAGTGCTATGCTCGCCCCACGGTGGGCGCCAAATTGTTTGAGCCTGGAATGTTCCAGGCGGTTTGTGTAGAACGAGCAAGGCGTCTGTTCCAGATGGTGGGTGTACTCCTAACTCCTGCAAAACAAGGGTCCATGGGCGGTCGCCCAGGACACCCTCCGATGCTAAAGTTAGAGATATAATAAGGGGTTTTGTTTATGTTTAGAGAGAGAGAGAGAGAGAGAGAGAGAGTTGTTGAGTTACCATCATTGCAGATATGAATGTATTCATAGTAGGTTAGCCTGAGTCTTGAGCATTAAATGCTATGTCAGGCGTCCTAGACCAGTCCATGCTTTATCTAGACCGCCTGCGGCGGGCAATTAATGCCCAGTTATGCAGTGTTCGAGGCAAGTATCTTAGGAAGATCTTCTTCCTCTGTCAACAACGACTCTTTGTGTCAGGCGGCCTACTCCTTGTCCCATCGTAGAGTGGCCGCCTGCCGTTCTCCTTTCTCTATGTACTCTCCTTCCTTGGGCCCCTTGCTGGGCCTCGCTTTAGTTTCCCTTTCGGGCCCTGCCTAACCAACTCCCTATGGGCTTCAAGCCCAACACTGCTCAACTATGGGCCCAACAGGTTCACTTGTCACATCCACACGGTGAGCAACTAAACATAAGATTGAAGGGCTATTTTGAAATTTTGGTATATGATGGCTTACCACAGCTTGCACCCTTACCCCGAGGAGTTTTTGCAACGATCGTGCGAGAGGGATCATTGAGAGTCTCCCACTGGTCATATCATAAGGGTCGGATGTTGAGCTACCTGTATTAAGCTAGAATCCACATCAGCCATATGACTCTTCACAATTCACACCACTACCAGAGTCAATACACCGACATACTACTCTTGTGCTTCACAATCTCAACATCCTCCAAAAGGATTAGCTTCTTATGATTTTGTTTTTCTACGTGTTAGAATTTCCCATACTTGTATTTTGAAAAATTGTTTAGTGCATTATTTGGTTCACAAAGTGTTTACTATGGCATTTATTTGTATTTTGTCTTGCATACTAATTTATAGTATTTGTTATTGACTTTGAACGACATAGTCAGGTTTCTCTATCCCATAATTTAAATAAATAAATAAAGTAATTGTGTTATTCTTTTGTAAAATAAAATAAAAACAAAGAGGAAATAGAAATAGAATGAGAGGAAAAAGAGTATCCAATGAAGGGAATAGATTGAAAGGAAGAGGAGAGAGGGGCCCGCGCTTAATCTCCGTAATCATCGGTCCAGATAGCCCGGGGGAGGGCTTGAAGCTTGGTGGTTAAGTGGGGCACAGCCAGCCATAATGAAAAATGAAACCAACCAACAAAAAAAAAAAGAGGCTCAATCTCGAGCCACACGCGCGAAGCCGCGAACGAGCGAGCTAGCACGCAGTTTGTCACTCTTCTCCATAATACGCTGCCTTGACCACCGCTCAACAGTCAGTTTGTTGGGGGAATATATTTATTTATTTGGTTGAGTCCAACTTTTCTCTTTGGCTTTTTGTTACTTTACCACTCAGCCTACATTCTACCATCTCCCTCTTCTTTTCAATCTAGATAGTATGCACAGCACATTTGCTACCATCTCTTCTCTATACATATGAGTCACACTCCCATTTTGTACAAAGCAGTGTTTGAAATATTCGGACGACCATTATATGTTGGTGATCACTCTTGTCCGTGCTCTGAAGCAGCTGATCTATAGCTCTACACAATGGGAGTAAAGCTGCACTCGGACCCGTTTGTGCCCAATGCCTCGTGCCAACTGAATCTCCTAGTAATTCCTACATACTAGACAAACTACTTAACTTCTTCAAATACATTAAAATTCCACATTACGTGGTTATAGGGTCTACTAAGTATATTATATATTGATTAGACATCGAAATCATAGGATTGAACCACCTTGATAAATAAATTAAGGAAGGTGGGTGTGGGTTGGTTGTAGGGGAGGAAATGCAAGTAACTACCAATCCAATATAACAGGTAATAATAATGAGATAGGAAATCTAAGCTCTGCCCCACGGATCTGCCCATCCCATGTGCTCTCCACCACCCCGACCAGCCAGACAACCAAAATTGAAATTTCCATACACAGGAGGACAGCAGAAAAAAAAAAACCCAATCAGGGAGGTCATTAAGCTTAACCAGACCAGATCCCTCTCAGCATCATCACCATGAATTTCTACTACGTACGTACATGATCTCCTTCTGTAGTAAGCAACGAATTCATGTTATCCGTTCAGAACCGACAATTAGGTTCGAGTCGCCGGCCGGTCATCATCATCGCTTCTCGGCCATGAATGCTGGAAATAGACAGACGTAGGGATCGGGGTGTGGTTCTTGGCATTTGATTAGAATGATCGACCATACATTAATGGGGGTGTGAATGTGATAGGCCGGTTTTTTTCCTAATTAGACAGTTTGGCCGGTTGGCCTTTACATCCCCACATTTATATCCCGTGTACAAGAATCAAATAGATCTCTTAAATCACACACCAACGCAGAACAAACTGCCCTTATGAGCTTCAACCCTTTACAACAATGCACAACCCCAGCGTCTCCTCAACAACCCGACTAGCTATGAGAAGGATCTCAAAGATGTCTGGTGTCGTTGGAGATATGTATCCGTCATCAAATGGCACCATTCGTATGTGAGATCTCTTACAGATGGACTGCGAGTAGACTAGTGAAACTTTCTTATCAATAGATATTATTAACATCTCGTATCGTACTTCCTAATCTAATAGAAACCGAAACGTTTCAGTGATTCAATGTCACACTAACATGGCTTTATGTCCTTCCTATCAATGTGTCGGACTAATATGGTGTTGATCTTTTCTTTGGTCTCTCAGCAGGAACCTTGCTATCTCGATCCCCTGGCCCGAGCCCCCTAGCGAGGTTCTTCATCCTTGGACCCTGACTCGATGATCAGGCAACCAGACGCCCATGACTTCCCGTTGGCGGCAGGTAATCCGATTCAAGTCATATATATCAACAAAAGAGATCTCAAATGTGTTTGGTTTCGTTGGGAGATGCATCCATCAAATGACGTGAGTCACTTGTGAGATCCTTACCATAGATGGATTGCGAAGAGGATAGTGACATCATATCATCGACATCTTCGTAAATCCTGATTTGATAGAAACGGAAAAATTTCATCGATTCAATGTGACACTAACATGGCGTCCATGTGGCTATCATGTCATGTCCTTCTTATCAACGGGTCATCAGATTAATATGGTGATGATCTTTTGCGTTTGTCTCTCTTTTCCGTTGTCGCCGATGATTATGATTTTGGCCCTCCTCCGGTTTGCCCTTTTGCTTTTGTAGGGTTGCATGATGCCTAGGTGCGATGCTGCTGCCTTCCACCAAATAATTACCGGCCGGTAGCTACTCCCTCCTCCCCACCATGTGTCGTCCAATCATGTTTTACTCCAATTCATGATGTTGCTCCCAAGTCAAACATTTCCCGAAAAGTAGTAAAAATGAATTCCAGACCGCGGGAATGATTTTTGTAAGCTTCTCCTCGACCATGTCAGTAAAAGAATAATGTAAAGAAAACATAACAAATGGTAAAGTTTCTCCTCAACGCATGCATGTGACTTGTAAGCCAAAAAAAGAAAAAGAGGGAGGAGCTTGTGTATTAGGCATGCAAAGCTATAGCTTGGATACCAAGCGACTAAGCGAGTAACTCTAACTATGATGAAGATGCAGTCATTGTCCAATGAATGTTCTTTGTACTTCTTCTTAATAATTTTTCATGGTGTTGTAAGAAGGGTTGGGGAAGAGGAAGATGATGCGTAACCGCGTATTGAAATCGATAGAATTGTACGGTACACATTAGATACGAGAGGACATTTGGTTCGATAAAGTTAAATTGAACCAAGAAACCGGTCAATCTAAATGATTAATTGCATATCCTGTGTGAGAAAGGGTGTTGTAAGAAGGGTCGGTGGGCCGAGGCCAGCCGGAGGAGCGGGCAGGGGAGAGCGGTCCGCGCCAGTCTTCAGTGGGCCGGGCCTGCTTCCTGCTCCGAGGGCCCAAGGGACTGCGGAGGCCCGCGGAAAGAAGAAGGTGGTGGAGTTTGAAGAGTTGGGCCCAGACTATGAGGAGATGAGTTTCGCGGACCAGGAGGAGTGGGAGTTGGGTCCTGGGGCCGATGGGCCCGATCAGAATTGGATGGTTGAACCCATGCTGGACCAAACGGTCGGCCGGTCGGGTCAATGGTCGGTCGGACCAGCTACGGTCGGACCAAGACCGGTCGAACCGAGGGCGGGTGGGCCGAACCTGGTCGAACCGAGTCGAACCCGGGCGCGGGCCGATGGGCAGCGGCGGGTATGATTCGGGAGGCAGGCCCGGACGCGAGAGACCGGGTCCCGAGGCCGGTTACCCACCTTGGAGCACTACACGGGCCGAGGGCGCGCGGCGGGGGCGCAGGATGGAGGAGGGACAGGGGTCCGGATGCAAGACGGGTGGCGGAGAGGAATATCAGCAGGAGATGGCCGACTGGGCCTACGCGGGAAGGCAACATGCGGGTCCCGAGTATCACGGGTCGGGACATTCGATGCAGCCATCTGGTGATAACAGGTACAGATACAGTAACCCTCTGTATGACTATGAGGATGAACTGGTGTTCAGAGCCAAACCGTCGGTTATCGAGTTTCCGAAATTTGATGGCACTGGTGATGTGGGATTATGGTTGTATGCGGCGGAGAGGTGGTTTAGGAACCATCCGATAAGGGCGGAGAGGAAGGCGCATCTGGCGTCCTTCTATTTGGAAGGGGATGCCCTCCAGTGGTGGGAGTGGACTGAGCGGGCATATGCTGCAGCAGGCGAGAGCATCTCGTGGGCCCGGTTCCAGGATGAGCTACGGTACCAGTTTGGCAGGGCGGAAGGCTGGGCACTAGAGCAGCTGGCTAAGCTGAAACAAACAGGATCAGTAGCAGAATATCGGGCAGAGTTCTTGAAGCTGGGAAACCAATGCAAGGAGATGACCGAGGAGACACTGGTGGGGCTGTGCATGGCCGGACTGCGGCCCGAGCTGGCCACCGCAGTCAAGGTCTTTGAACCTGAATCTCTTCGGGTGGCTTTTAGACTTGCAGGGCAGAAGGAGGAGGAGCTAGCCAGTTGGAGATCCTCCGTGGGCAGGATACAGAAGGCCAGTGGCGGAATGGGTGGCGGCACAGGTACTGGGGCGGCGACACCGGCGGCTGCATCAAGCCCTCCGGCCGCCGGAACCACCGTCGGGACTCGGTTCCCGACTCGAGCACCACCGCGCGGATTCGTAAGGCTGACTTAGGCAGAAATGGATCAGAAGCGTCGTGATGGGCGTTGCTTCAACTGTGATGAGAGGTATACCGTGGGAAATCAGTGCGCCAAGGGTCACTTAATGCTGTTGGTCGGGAATTGGGAAGATGAAGGAGAGGAAATGGAGCTGGGCGCGAAGGAAGAGGAAAAGAAAGAGGGCGACAAGACCAATGGACCACCTTGAGGGCAAGGTGGGTTTTAAGGGGATGGATTTTGAGAAGCATAATTATTGGGGTCTATTTGTTATTCGCGTATTATTCGGATATTGTGTTAGAGTGGGAAATATGAGGGTTTATTCGGTTAGGTTAATTATTCGGGTAGTAAACAGAAAATAGTCGGTTTATATATATATGTCATGTTATGTTAGGTCAAGGGCAAGAAATAATACAGAAATTGTTCCCAACTCTCTCTCTCTCTCTCTTCACCTTGGCCGACCCCCTTCCTTCCCTCTCACCATCGGCGGTTTCCTCACCCAGGAATCCGATTCTGCTCTCTCTCTCTCACCCCAGATTCCCATTCTTTCTCACCTAAATTCCCAATCCCTAATTCGTTAATCCCTAAATTCGCACGCCTAGATCCGTGGTTCTCACATCCTGGTTAGGAGTTCTAGCCAGACCAAAATGCAAATACTCAAACCACAAAGACACGACCCCAAGTTCAACTCAAGCCAAGTTCCAAGATCTAGGTCCAACTCTACCAAAGCCCCAAGCCACTTTCATAAACCACAACCCAATCCCTATACTACACCTAACCCATGATTTTAAAAAATAGAGCAAGATGGAGCTACACTAAAACCTATTTCATTCGTAACCCTCTCATCTCACCAACGTCCCAAACATAACTGTTAGCATCCAACACTAAGGAGGAGAAAAGAAAAAGAAGGGAAACGATAAGAGAGAAAGAGGAGGAAGGAGTAAAAAACAACAACTTATTATTAGGGAAATGGAGAAAAACAAAGTGAGAAACACTTATAAGAACTTGAAATAAACACGAACACAATATCAAGATTTACGTGGTTTCTTTGATAGTCGGTACTAGTCCATAGGAGAGATAGAACTCTCCAGAATCAATTTTATTCAGCTTAGGTTTTCTGTACATCAAATATACACACATATATACACATGTTGGCCTAGGGTATAAACCGAACCCTACTAGTCTATTTAGATAACTCTGGTAATTAACGTAAGATTATTAAAAGCTATCTAAACAAACTATGTCGTCACTTCAGCACCCTGCCTCAAACTGATGATGCTTACGTAACATCAGTTTGTGTGATAAAAACCATTGACGACTAGTGCCAACTGCCTTTGTCAACAAGTCTGCAGTCTGATCTTCTGTTGACAAATAGCTACGTTGAATTATCCCTTCTTGAACAAGCTGCCTAATATAATGCACATGTGTCTCAATGTGCTTCGTCCTGTCATGCAACACTGGATTGTTAGCAATTTTGATCGCACAAGTGTTGTCTCCAAACAACCGCATAGGCAGCGTGCATACAACTCCCAAATCACCCTACAAATGCTGCAACCACACCAATTCAGAGCGGACTTTGGACATGGACCTGTATTCATCCTCCGTGGAGGATTTAGAAACCTGATTTTGTTTCTTACAGCACCAAGAGATAAGAGATGAACCAAGCCGAACACACCAACCCGAAGTAGATCGTCGGGTATCAACACATCCAGCAAAATCAGCATTTGCAAAGACTTCCAAAGTCGGCTCTTCATGACTGGGAAAGAAGAGTCATACATCCTGAGTTCCCTGCAAATACCGTAATATCCAATGAATAGCATCCAGATGTAGAGTTCTGGCCATCCCCATGTACTGACTCACAACCTGGACTGCATAGGCTATATCAGGTTGAGTAGAACTGAGGTACCGATGACTCCCTACTATTGTTCGATAGTTAGTTTGATCATCCAACATCTCACCACTAGACAGACCCAACTTTAACTTCTGCTCCATTGGAGTGGCAAATGGCTTGCAATCATTGAACTGGTACTCGACCAACAAGTCGCGTACATACTCCCGCTGGCCAACAAATATGCCCTAAACAGTACGTTCAATTTCCAGCCCAAGGAAGTAAGAAACATCTCCGAGCTCCTTCAGTTTAAAATCCTGATGTAACGTCTCCTTTAGTTCTTGTATACCAGCTTGATCATTCCCAGAGATTATCATATCATCAACATACAACAATAAAATTGTGATACCATTCTATGTATGCCACAAGAACAAAGATGAACCATTTAGACTTTGCACAAATCCTAACTGAATAATTGTACCATGAAACTTCTCGAACCAGGTGCGTGGAGCCTGTTCAGGCTGTACAGTGACTTCTTCAATCGACAAACCATATTAGGACCACCTTTCGAATACCCTGCTAGACAGGCCATGTAGATACTCCTTCACATCTCCATGAAAGAATGCATTTTTGACATCCAACTGTACTAGAGGCCAATTCTGCATTGCAACAACAACAAAAACAGACCTGGCAATTTGCATCTTTGCCACCGGAGCAAAAGTCTCATCATAATCAATCTCTTACTCCTAGCTAAACCTATGAGCAACTAACCTGGCCTTATATCGATCAAGTGACCCATCTGGTTTAAGTGTTTCACTGTAAATACCCACTTACACCCCACAATAGACATCTCAGGAGTTCGGGGAATCACCTCCCATGTCTCATTCTCCTCCAGGGCATCAATTTCTTCTGTCATAGCATTATCCCACTCCAGAATACCACATGCATATCGATAGTGAGATGGAACATGAATGGGCTCAACAACAAAAGTGACAGGATC